GCCCAAAGAGGACAATGTCAGATGGCGGTAGGCTTGGGTGGTTACAAAAGCATTTCTTAGAAGGGTGTGAAAATCTATTCCTAATAGACACGTTTTAAAACCTTAAGGGGAAGCCCTAAAAAGAAAAGCCCAAAGACAATATTTGCTAGCAACGGGTTTGACCTGTTACAACATAATTCTATTAACAGGCATCCCTTTATGAGGAAAAGAAATGGCATCAATAAATACTCTACATGAACTAATGCAAGCATGTTGTCTTCTCCGTTTGAGGAAAATTATCTAAATGTGAACGTCCAAAAACATTAAGACCATTACAAAATGAAGGTTACCTTGGTTATTGGAGGGTATGATTTTAATTCCAAATTCAAATCTGGAAGGCGAGCAATCTCGGCTGCATTCTCAAATAAGATATAGGTGGGAAGCTGGTTCATACTCCCTATTAAATTCATTTGCACGTAGTAAAACATTCCGATTGCTTAGTCATTACAAAACTGAAAAACAACATTCAAATTCAGAATGAAAATAAAAAACAATTACCACCAAGTGAAATCCCAAATTTCTCAGCAACATTTGGAAAGAGCCCAAGATCAACTACTCCGAATGATAGATGTTTATTTGAATATCTGCTTAAGGAGATGTGAATACGCATGTAAGCTACTTAAGCAATAGTGTGGTTATATGCAAATAAAAAATTTTAGAACTTCAAAAACAATATCGGTGTTTCATATCATGGAGCTGATCTAGCAGTCCTAAAGAGTTAAAATTTCCAGGACTTCATATGTGAACATGAAAAAACTTCTAAATTGAATTCAGCAGAAAACACCAAAAATAGATGATAAGAAAAAATTACTAATGCATAACTTCTACATATATAAAGTCTCCTCTCCCTGAATCCATCCACACAGTAAAAGAAAAAGTACTCACGTAACTGCCAGCTCAGGCAAACATCTACTATATCGTATGCAATCAGCTGAGAAGGAAACACGAAACTCAACCTGGCAATTTAGGAAAGGATCCATTAAACACTGAAGAAAATCAAGAAAAAGAGTTCTGCATACATGATAAAATGACATACAGATTATAAACATTTAAACTTGCCAATATTGTCTCTATAACATAATAGAAATAGTTACTCAAAAGTTAAAATTTTGGAGCACGGATTTGCAGAGGTGGAAACTTGATTTCTAGAAATAAAGTAAATTCAAATCAATAGTTTCTATTAAACGTCCAAAAAAAGGAAAAGGAACCTAATTTATGTTTCATTATTAGTTACTGTGGGATTTGTCTTTGAACTTTGGCTTACCGATTGGTTTGCCAAGTACTATTGTCTTTTGACTTTAGTAAAACAACCTGTTTACCAGTTGTTCTTTAGTTGGTTCGTTTGCATAAACAGGCAGCAGTAACCAACTCAAATCATCAATAAAATCACTTTGAACTCTTGCAGATTTGATACCTCACTTGTTAGCACAATAAATGTCTTAGACCCTAGTTGCACAAAGTCAATATGAGTCCAACATTTCTTATACACGCACTGAACACTTGTTAAGCATTCTAAATAGATATGTATTAGTGTAGGGCAAAATCTGTGAGAGAAATATATCAATCAAACTCCTTTTTTAAGTATATAAATGCATAAACTTATTGCCTTGGAGTTTCCTTCTTATATAAAAAGGATATGCAGATTTTTTAAGAAGGTTGTTTTAATAAATGTATCATTGTCGTGTCTATGTCCTAGATTTTTAAAAATGACATGTCAATGTATCAGTATCATGTCGAATCTATCCATATTTGTGTTAGGTGACTATCATGACTTGAACTCATTTCTTGCAAGTCCTTTATTGTTTACATGGCACCTTCTGATCACTAGGCCAACCTATTGTGATTAACAATCATTCACTTATTTGAATCGTCTAGCAAGGCTTCAAATGTATAGATTGTAGATTTATAAAATCCCGAGAGCAAATGCCATTTCAAGTTTCATCATGAAACTTCCCATATTGTTAAGTGAGTTTGTCTGACAAATAAATTCTTCTATATGAATTTTGTACTCTCGCTCTCTCTCAAGCTGCAAACTAAAAATAATTTAAGAAGTACATTAATTTCCTGCCTCAAAATGTTGCGTTGAAAACACTTACTACTACTGCATTTAGTTTTATTTCCATTAGAGAATAGTTGCAAGAAGAAATGCGTAGCGTCTCAAAATTTTGGAGCAATACGAGAAATAGGTAAAGAGAGTGCAGAATGAACCAGCCAGAATCTTGACTTGTTGTTCCCCTCAGTCAGCAAGGATTCCAGCTGCAGTGGAGTTAACTTACTGCAGGTATCTACAGAAAGGATTTTGACAGGAAAGAAAAGAGAATAAGAATATAATGTACTAGACTTGCAAGACAATAATTTGGTTGTACAAGGCTTTGGTAAGATCCCCAGGAGAGTTAAATGAGAAAACGAAGTTGGAAGGTAAACTTAGTCTTATTTCAAACCTGATCCTTGGTAGACAGGTTGTTGAGTAAAAACGTATATCCCTAAGGAACAGAAAATAGCAAACTATCATATCAAAATTGATCAAACTATCAGGATCAAATTTCTTAAACCATCAGTAAAATTATGGGAACAACGTTGACTACAACAAAATAAAAAAAAAAACAATAATAAATAACTCTCACCTGCAAACACAATTACATACCAAACTGCAAGGTGATAATCCATCATAGAAGCGAGGGCAACAAGAAAACCCTGAATGAATTAGAACCAGGACAATGGATCACTGAGCAAAGATATTAAAAAGGACCCGCTCCAACCAAATAGGACCAGAGTGAAACTACAGGAACAACATCAAACTCTCTCTGTGCAGCAGAGCAACGCATAGTCCACAGTTCGCTTGCGATTAATGTCAGATCAATACTCATCATAAAAAAAAATTGCTAATCCACGACCAAAGGAGTAACTACCTTAACATAAAGCAGCATATCGGCAGTAAAGGCCTCCGGCGTCTCTCTTCTCACCATCTGCCGTAAAAATGCAATCAGTAATAGAAATTAGCTGCTGAAGCATCATTCAAGAACTAATACTCATATCTCCCAAATATCAATAGACGTAAAAATTTGAAGTAATCGAAACGAAAGCATTCAACTCTATTGACCCTAAAAAAAAAGAAATTAAACTACTAATATCAGATGCGGAAGATACCTTAAGCATAAAGAAAATCAGAAACACCAGAATCGCTTGCATCTCCTACGAGGTGAAAGATGAAAACAACATAAGGAATTAGGTAAACCGAGAAATAAAAGGTACATACTGTATAAACAAGAGAAAAAACAGCAACAAAGAATCATAACAAACTGGAGAAGTAAGGATCAATACCCGGCAAAAGAGAAGATGCATGTTCTTACATGAGAGTACATGAGCAGCAGAACTTCGAATCACAAAATAGGAAAAAAAGGCTAGAAAATGGGAGAGATAGTAGGGCTCAGTCAGCATTAGATTCAGCCACTCCCCCGGTCGAAAGTTTCTGAACTCCTTCTTCTCCACCATGGCGTTTCACCGTATCAGACTCGTGGAGATTCCTGCAATTACAAAGATCGAACACCAGTGATTGATGGCGGTAGCGCGTAAGACGCGGTGGTTTCAACGTCGAGGGAAGGACTTGGTGGAAAATAAACGACGAAGGTATAATGGGGCGAGTATAGCGGTAGCGGCCCACATTATCCCTAATTTGGGCTGAGTGTAACCCATAAATAAAGTTTGTGGGGTTTGGGCCTACTGGACTCTAATCCAGTCCAATTATTAATATATAATGGGAAATAATAGTGATAAAAAGTTGAAATTGGGGAGGGAGTGGGTGGTGTGAAATAAAGTCCCACATGGAGTTGGAGACAAGCAAGCTGCGCAGAACCGACGTCTCAACCCCCCATGTGAGTACAGCCGCCTAGCCGCGAGAGAAGGTGGAGGGAAAATGAGTATGGAAGATGGGAGTCGATAGTCATCGACGTGTCTTACTACCTCACTCGTTCAAGATTAAGGGGTTGATCATGAACAATATCACACCATTGTGGAGGGTCATGTTTTTTAACATCGCTCCCTCACATGGTTCTGCAAGATCTTAAGTTGTTGGTTGGAGAAGAGGACAAAACATGTTTTTATAAGGGTGTGGAAACCTTTATGTAGCAGACGCATTTTAAAAATTTGAGATTTGAGTATTACAAATGGTATCAGAGCTAAATATCGGGTACTGTGCCAACGAGGACACTAAGCCCGAAGGGGGTGGAGATCAAATAGTGTGGTAGGTGGGCCAACGAAGACGCAAAGCCCTGAAAGATGGTAGACATCGGGAAGTGTATTAGTGTGAACGCTAGACTCCAAAAGGGGTGGATGTGAGATCTTACGTCAGTTGGTTGGAGAGAGGAGCAAATGTCGGTGAAGAAGCTAAAAATGATAATATCTACTAGTGAAGTGTTTAGATGGTCACCCGTGTCTTACCCAAAGAAAACGCACCGTATTGGGGTCAAGTTATTTATTAATATACATGGGAGGGGAGAGAAATAGATGGAGAAGAGAGGAGGCACCGCCAGTTTTGGGCTTGGATGCAATGAGTCACATGCATGGGTGAGATCACGTGCAAAATTGGACCCCACACACACCTCCCTCCCATACTCCTCTTATTTATTTCTTTATTTAATCAATTAAAAAAAAAAAAAAAAAGAGTAACAAATTGAGGAATAGGGTTGGGAGAGGACCTTATCCACTGCCCCTGCCCGAAGAAGAAGAAGAAGAAGAAGAGGAGGAGTCGTAGTGTGGCGTAGGGATTAAAAATCACAGAGCAGAGGGCCCCGCTGAACAGCCTCGCAGTCCTTCAATTCTGGATGTCTGCCACGTGTCGTGATGGCCGACAGTTTAAACATCACCTTCCATTCAGGTAATTTTAACGTACCTCACCTTCACCTCCCGTACTTTTCCCCTTCCCGCTTCTTTCTTATCTTTTCTTACTCCTCCGCCACCACCACCACCACCGCCTCCTCCGCCTCCTCCTTCCTTTGATCTATCTCCATCAAAATCCTCCATTTTTTTATACAAATTATTAAAAAATTACTTCTTTCTCTCTCTCTCTCTCTCTCTCTCATCTTACATAGCCATAACTCTTCACGCTTCACTCTCACTTCTCCTTCTCAAACCCTTCGTTTTCTTTCACATTGCTTTCATGGAAGCTCCCCACTATTTCCACCCTGCTTTTTCCACCCAAAACCCACACTCCTCCAATACACTTGAAACCACTGCCGCCGCCGCCGCCGTCGCCGACCATTTCCTTGTCGAAGACCTCCTGGATTTCTCTAATGATGACCATGTCGTCTTCACCGACTCCACTTCCGACAACCAAACCCCCACCTCAACTGATTCCTCCACTCTCACTTTACTCGAACAACCCAACAATGGACACCACAATTATAGCTTCCTCGACGCCAATTTCTCCACCGACCTTGCTGTTCCGGTAATCATCAACATTCTTCATTTCTCTTTCCAATTTTCTTGTGAGAAATCTCTGTAAATTGATGGGTTTTTTTGTTCTTTTTCAATTGCTCTGTTTTTGTGTGGGTTTTTTCCACAGTACGACGACTTAGCAGAGCTCGAATGGCTTTCCAATTTCGTTGAGGATTCTTTCTCCACCGACGACTTGGAGAAGCTGAGTCTGATATCAGGGGTGAATTCCCGGACCGACGACGACGCCGCCGCAAAACCCAGAGAATTTCAAACCGAACTCTCCGCCGGTTTCCACCCCGACATGTCGGTACCGGCGAAAGCCGCTCGTAGCAAGAGGTCTCGGGCATGTATATGGAATTCCAGAGTATCCGTACTCTCCCCCACAAATTCCTCTTCCGAAACCGACGTTGTCGTCACGCTCACGGCTAAGAAAACATCCAAGAAGAAAGAAACCCCCGACGACACGTTGTCCCCCAGCAATGGGGAAGGTCGGAAATGTCTCCATTGCGCCACCGACAAAACGCCTCAGTGGCGAACCGGCCCATTTGGCCCTAAGACCTTGTGTAACGCTTGTGGGGTCCGATACAAATCCGGCCGCCTTGTACCGGAGTATCGACCAGCGGCAAGCCCGACATTCGTGCTGACAAAACACTCCAATTCTCACCGGAAAGTCATGGAACTCCGGCGACAAAAGGAAATGATGAGAGCACAACAACAACATCATCATCATCAACAACAACAACATCTTCATCAAGAGACTATGGAATTCAACCATGCATCCAACAACGACAACGACGATTACTTGATCCACCAACACATAGCGCCCATCTACGAATAGAGAAATGTTTCTCGAATTAGTGGCTAATTATTTGAAAAATCCGATCTAGAGTTACTAAATTTTCATTTCTAACAGCTTAAAATCTGAACTCAGCATACCCATAATCACTTTTCTTAAAGTTTACTCCTTTGTTCTTGTGTAGTTCATCATAATGCATTAGCTTAATCTGGGTTAGAATTTGAATATAGAATTGTGTGAAAGAAAAGAAAAAGGCGATGCCTTGAAGTTGGCGAAAGTACAGAATGGCAGGAAAATTTACTACGGCTGTGGATCTTTTTGCAACAAAAGAGAAGAAAATGGGGCAGCTGAGGAACATGAATGGCAGTAAAATCCGGCTGATCCGATGGCAATGGCGGTTCCAATAGGCCAATATGCAGAGAATGTTGAGGAAAATCTGAGCTTTCCTCTGCCAATTCATTGTACTTTTTACCTTTTTACAGAAACAGAGTCAATCATGTGATAATTGGTAATAATAATATAATAATAATTGATTACTGATTTCAGATTCACTTAAGGATTAATCAATCTTTGGCTCATCACATCACATGCCTATCTTTCTGCACTAACCAATTACTTTCTTCTTCTTCTTTATTATTATAATGAAATTGATTAACACTGAATAAAGCAGACGGGAAGAAAAAAAAAAGAATAAAGCTGCTGCAGCATCCTGATCTCCGGACATTAAAAACAGAGCAAAATCAAGCCCTCAAGCGGGAATCAGAAATTTTTTGAAATTAGATTAAGTTCTCGCTCAAGCCTAACGTTCAGATATTGCCATTTTTGGCTTTTCCTTTCGGGCTTCCTCTCAAGGTTCTTAAAACGCACCATAGTCCGTGGCTATCCCAATATCCCAAGGTAGTAAATATTGTCCTCTTTGAGCTTTCCCTTTCGAGTTTCCCGTCTGCTAGAGAGAGGTTCTTACAAAGAATACTTCGTTCGGTTCTTACAAAGAATACTTCGTTCGGTTCTTACAAAGAATACTTCGTTCGGTTCTTACAAAGAATACTTCGTTCGGTTCTTACAAAGAATACTTCGTTCTCCTCTCCAACCGATGCACGGTTCGTTCTAAGTTGCTAGTTTTTGAGCCAACCAAGCAAGATTTGAAATTACATTCACCAATAGCCTATGACTATCCCAACAGTCAAAGTCTACCGTTAGCATATATTGTCTTTTTGGGGTTTTCCAAAGACTTCCCTTCAAGGTTTTTAAAACATGTCTACTACGGAGAGGTTTCCACACCCTTATAAAGAATACTTAGTTCTACTCTCTAACCGATGTGGGATCTCAAGGTTCGTTCTAAGTTGCCAGTTTCTAAACCAACCAAGTAAGATTTGAAATTACATTCACTAGAGCGTAGGGCTATCCTAGTTATCTTTCCAGAAATATAAACCACCATAAAGGTCCTGTAGCACCCAAACACCGTTAGCAATATTGTCTTTTTTGAGTTTTCCCTCAATATTTTTGAAATGTGTATGTTACGGAGAGATTTCCACACCTTATAAAGAATATTTATGGAAAGGAAATGGGTTTTAGAAACCCACAATTGGAAGCAAGCAAGCAATGAGGGGAGGATAAAAGTAAGATGGAAGGGCACATGAGTGTGTATTGGTATTATGTGGACATGGTTGGGACATGGTCAAAGAAAGTTGATGAGATATGGGGAACACTCCAACGACACCCTCTCCTCTTCCCACTCACTATCTCACGTGCTAAAGATACCTCAATACACATTAATTTAATCCCTCACTTTACTCTATCATCACATACAAACTAGAACAAAAATTGTAAAGAATGAGGATATCATACTCCTGGGTTTGCATTGCAGAGCATGCCCTGACACAACGACCTTGAGGTTAGTCGAGCCAACCCGACTAGAGTAGGCGGAGTTGCCCAGTTACTGAATCACTGGACTCCTTTGGCCCTGTTTAAAAGAGAGATGGGGAACATGTATGCTCTTAAGAATATGAATTAACAGCGAAATTTCCAGTAGTCCATCGATTTTGGATTCAGTGGCGATTTAACATAATATCGGAGTATGAGATTATAAGGTTATGTATTTGAATCTCTATGATTGTCATTTTCTTTCTAGTAAATATTAATAATCATTTATCGGGTCTTGTGCTATTTTCCAAGCACACAACTATAGGGAAGAGTTAAAATATGAACTAATACTAAATTAACCATGATTATGGGCTGCATATTCACACAAGAGAGACAAGTGATACGAGAAGAATCAACCAGGCAACCACAGATTCCTACCAAAGGGGTAAAGAGGCCTTACCAGGTCCAATGACAAGAACATTCTTCGATCCAGCTGAAACTTGTAACAGCCCAAGCCCAAGCCCAAGCCCAGTGCTAATAGATATTGTATGTTTCAGCCTGTTACGTATCTCCGTCAGCCTCCCAATTTTAAAATGTGTCTACTAGGGAGAGATTTTTACACCCTTATCTCACAATCCACCCTCTTAGGGGGCTAGCGTCCTCGTTAGCACACCACTTAGTGACTGACTCTAATACTATTTGACTCTAATACTATTTGTAATAGTTCAAGCCTACTACTAGGAGATACTATAAACCTGTCCAGTAGTTTGTGAAATGAATACAAACATGTTTTTCCTGAGTTATTCAATCACAGGCACTTGAAGCTGGTCAAAATGATAAATGCATATGAATTTGGACCAAACTAAAGAGGATGGATAAGAATTACTCTTCAAATAGCATGAACTACGTCTTTCCATCAACTACAAACAAAGGGTTTTCAGCCACACCATCATACAATGCTGAACCACTAACATGTGCAAATATATAGAACATCAAGCATCATCGTTCCCAGTTACCCCACCATTCCTCATGCACTAATCAACCTTAAACGCATCTAAATTCATCTAAGTAGCCGAGTGCAGAACAGAGCTCATACCTGTGTGCGTCCAGCATCAGCAACAACAAAAGTAGGAAGGCCAATGTTCTTAGCTGCATCCTCCATTTATCACCTCCTCTCAATCCTCAACACAAACCAACAACCCTTGTCTAATTGGTGTATCTAATCGTTTCCCCGTCCACATATGGTAAAAACCAATCCACCACGGAGCTGTATCATCATCAAGAAGGGGCAAAAGAAAGAAACCCAGAAAAATGAATACCTTGTTCGAAGAATTTGAAGAACACAACATGACCCTTTTATACGAGCTGTTAGAAGAACACAACCGGCAAAAATGGGATTCAACCTTCAATTGAATCGGTAGAACAGCTCCTGAGAGGGGCCGGTCGTGGCCCAAAAGGCCACCGAGTATGAAGAATGGTTAACATAGGGGGCCGTTTGCATATCACTGGTCCAATACAGGTGCTGCATTGTTTGGGCCACGCTCTCCTTCTATCTATCTTGCTGCCTTTTGGATTTTGTCTCTCTGTCCAACAACGACCCTCCAAAATTGTTTAAACATATGATGATCTTCCCCTTAATTAGATACCTGAAACTAATCTCTAAATTTTTAAGACCCACCAAACATGAAAGTAATCTAAATTTAATTAAACTTTACCCATTCAAATGTAGATGGATGAAATATAATAACAAGGAAAAATAAGAAATTGGAATAATATATTGAAAAAAGAAATATGATAGTCAATAATTACTGAGCTTTGGCAAAGGCATAATAAGTCAGAGCGTGGGCTGTCGATACGAGACACTAGATATAAGTTTTCTGACTGTTAAGTGATAATGTTGGGCCTAAAATGGGCCCCAATAAAAGGGCTTGGCCTGCAACTGTAAAATCATAATATATATATATACATATACACATCTCTAGAAAGCTTTTTTGTATTTTTCTGCCTATAACACACGTCAAATCAACCCTTTTCCTCCCCATTCTCAAATCCAAAATTTGGACGTTTCCGCTTTAAAATAAAAATTAATTCTGGAATTTTCAATTTTATATTTACTAATTATTTAACATATTAAAAAAATTTAAAAACTTTCATAGAGCAAAGAATGAGATATTAATTAAATGGTGAGAATCTGGATGACGTGTGGTTATAGGTACGGATAATTTTGGGGTATAATATGATTTTTATATGCTACACATCTACCTATGCTTTGCTTTTTTTTTTTTTATTATTTGTCAAACCTTATTAAACATTTAATTATACAGAAATTAATTTTTAAAAAATTAAATTGTTGATTTTCATTTTATTATTTATTTTTTATAATTGATACGTGGGATGGGTGTGAATGATGAAGGGTGATGGAGAGAAGTGGAAGGGGTATGATTGGACAATATTTTCAACGGCCACCATCCGAATAATAGAAAGTGGAGCCCCCTTTCTGCAAATAATTGACGGACTTCTTTCTTCTTAATTTCCCCCCTTTTCGTCCGTACTTCTTTTTATATATTTTATATTTTTGCTTTTTTTTTTTTTTTGTGATTTTAAAATAAAATTTTAATCATTATGATGATCCCAAATATCCATTCAAATCTAATCACGTAACGATCAAGATATNTTTTTTTTTTTTTTTTTTTTTTGTGATTTTAAAATAAAATTTTAATCATTATGATGATCCCAAATATCCATTCAAATCTAATCACGTAACGATCAAGATATTATCCCCTTTGGACTTCTCCTCAAGGCTTTAAAACACAGGTTTCCACAGCCTTGGTTTGTTTTCCTCCCAACCAATGTGGGACATCACAATCAACCCCCCTTCGAGACCCAACGTCCTCATTGACACATTGTTCTTTTTTAGCTTTCCCTTTTGGGCTTCCCCAAGGCTTTAAAAAGGGTCTTTTTGTTCTTTTTTGGTTTTCTCTTTCAGGCATCTTCTCAAGGCTTTTAAAAGCTTCTGACACTCCTATAAACGATGATTTGTTCTCCTCTCGAAACAACGTGGGACATCACAAATCATTTTTTATCCCTTTTATTAAATACATTATATTATATCTGACTGAAAGGCGGCTATTTATATAATAAAAAAGGTAATGTATCGCAAATAAGTAATAATGAGAGAGGTAATTAGGATAGGTTGGTAGGCGTGGAAATTGTTTGATTTATTTATTTAGTTTTTTGAAAAAGGAAAAAATGGTTGAAAAGAATAAAGGTGGAAGATGCTTAATAAAAATAGGATAATATATAGATTAACAAAACATAGGTTAATTATTAATTTTGTCACATAATAATGAAACTTAAACTTCATCGAGATATATATATTTTTTATATTAAAAAAAATTGTAAAATTACTTTTTTTCAATTGACGATACTACTCATATTAAATACATGATGCCAGAACATCCAATTT